CTGTTTAGGGCCGTGTGATGCTGTATCAGAGGTGAAAATTAGAACCGTAACTATCAAGATCATAGCTGTAAAGAATTGAGGGAAATCAAAAAGCAAATTCTAAATCGTCTTTGTCTTTAAAATGTACTAGAATTCCTCAGGAAGTTGCCAAGTAAGGGGAAGAGGAGGATATAAGATTGGTCAGAGCACAATTCTTATTACTAATAGGAATGAAATGACACAATAGACTAAAATAACATGGTTGCATGTTTCATTTGCCTTCACTGAATAAAAATCAACAGTACATAATTACTAATTTATTTTAGTTTTTCTTATAGTTAACTTTGCTTCTTCTGTAAAGGACTTACCAGCTTGCATTTATGTAGAAGGAAGTAAATGTGGTGTTGGGCAGAAGGGTGTGTGGAGGAGAGAGAGATGGAATCAGCCTGTGTGTCCCTGCTGTGTGCCAGTTGACCCAGAGTTTTAGTGTGGTTGTCCTAGTTGAGCTTCCTGGCAAGGCGGAGATATCATGCCTGTCCACACAGGAAGTGATTTCTGAATGCTGTCCACACAGAAAGTCCTTCCTCCCTGACTGCTGCCTATACAGGAAGTGCTCACCGAGTGCTGCCCACACAGGAAGTTCTTGTGAGCACTAAAGAGTAGTGTTTCTCCTGGTGTCATGCACTGCTGCAGGGATGGTGAGGGTCTGCCAATACAGTCACCCCGTTTATTCACCACTGACTGTTTTCTATCAAATTCGGCATTCAGATTAGCCCAGACATGTTAACAAGAAAATTGAATTAACCTGTTTTCTCTGCCCAGGGAGCAATACGAATGTAGCCTGATTATCCTACCTCAACCAGGTGAAAGTTGAGGCTGGAGAAGGCCAAGATAGATCTGTCGGATTTTTTGTGGACCTGCATGAACACTTCACCATGGTTGTTTGGCAACTGGTTTCCCTAGATTGAATGTGTTCAAACTAGCTACAACCTTTATCCATAGGAAGTCTTTACAAATTCCAAGGAAGCTTAGGGGGTTTGAGAGCAGAATTGAAAAGGTCAGCCAGTGATGAAAATAGAGTAAAAATCATTCTTTATATGTAGTACTTCCCTCTCTTCCTTTTTTTTTCTTTTACTTGCCATTTGTGCTTTATAGGCACAAAGTATAATTGCTTTCAATTTATCAAATTCTCAAATTTTAAAGACTAGTCAGTACTTGCATTTCAATCTAGGAGGGTTTAGTTCTTTACTACTTCAAGTTAAGCCTTCCCACTAATTCTAGCTATAGTCTAGCTAGTCTAGTTTAGCTGTAATAGATTTTTAAGAAGTATGTATAGAATGCATTACATGTAGAATTTATTCTCAATCATCAGTTACTTAAATTTATTAAATTTAGTTATAACAACCTAAGACCATAATAGCCTATATACTAGTAATGTGATGTTTCAATATATGTATACATTGTATAATGTTTAAATCAGATTAAATGCATTTAGCTCTTCAAACATATATCATTTCTTTATATGGAAAACTTTCAAAATCTTTTTCTAACTTTTTGAGCTGCATAGTTCATTAATATTGTTTGTAGCTACCCTGCTCTGCAGTAGCGCATCAGAACCTCTTGAGCTTATCTGACTATAACATCATACCCTTTAGTGAGCCCTTCCCCATCTCTCCTGTCCTCCTGTTCTCCCCAACCCTCAGTAGCCAGCCCCATACTCTCAGCTTTTATGAGATTGACTTGTTTAGTTCCACAGGGTGAGATCACGTGGTATTTCTCTTTCTGTTTCTGGCTTATTTCACTTAACATGAGGATCTCCCATTCCAGCCTTGTCCCAAATGACAGGGCTTCACCCTTTCTGTGGGTGAGTCATTTTCCATTGTGTAAACCACATTTTCTCCATCTGCTCAGTGTTGATGGCTACTCTGGTTATTTCCATTTCTTGGCCATTGTGACTAGTGCTGCAATGAAGATGAGGGTGTGTGTATCTCTTTAACAGACTGACTTCATTTCCTTTGGACATATACCCAGTAAGGGATAGCTGGGTCATGTGGTAGTTCTATTTTTAATTTTTGATGAAATTCAGTACTGTTCCCCATATAGGCTGTCAAAACTAATTAATTTATTCTTTTCTGCATGTGACATCACATGCAAAGGTTTTGCTCTACCATTGAGCTATATACCTCTGGTCCCCTCACAATCAATCCTTTAATGAAAAGATTAATAAAGTATAATTTTTAAGACAATTTTTCTTTTTTAAAGCTAAAACCTGATTTGGTTTGGTTTGGTTTGGTTTGGTTTTCCAGTAGTGAGGATTGAACCTAAGACCTTGGAACCGAGCTACACAGCCCTCTGTTTTCTATATTTTTAGAATAGGGTCTCTCTAAGTCACTCAGTTGCCTAGGCTTGACTCAAAATTTTGACCCTCCTTGCCCTCCCAACGTTGAGATTACAGGTGTGGCTTCCAAACCCTGCATCATTTTGGTTTTTAAGGCATTAGTTGACTGTGTGCTTATTAATTTAACCAAAGACATCTTTTTGGTACTCTTTTGGCAAGAAAGATGGGCAAAGAAATTGGACAAAAAAAGCCATTATGGGGCATTTAGGATATTGAAGGTATTTTGAAATACCACTTAGGGTACTGTTTGAAGACCCTGGCATTGTTGTCTAGCAGATGTATATTCAAATTCCAGCCTTGCTACCTAGTTACTGTATGACCTTGACAAATTACTCTTCTTCTTTTCCCAAAACTCAGTTTCCTAATCCACAAAATGGGAGAACAATGCTGTACCTGTCTCATTGGATTTAGTAAGACAATACATGTAAAGCCACACAGCACACCGTGGCACACAGTAAACAGGCAGTATCCGTGATTGTCACTCATACTGTTAAAACCATTATTCACCATTTCTGACTATTTTAAGAGTAAACATATTTATTATGTCTACATTTCTTGAATCCTACATTTTTAAGTTGAAGGAGTTCTTAAAAGTTAATCTTTGATGGAGATTTATATGTACTGAAAAATTAAATTGACAACCCATAACACTTCAGTGACTCTGTCTTTTAGGTATCATTGTCTTTAGCTAGCTCTGAGAAAGAGTTGATACTTGGATAAGATCTAAATTTAAATTTTGTTGTAGATAGGAGTCATCAGAAACATGAGGCCATTAATGGGTGGGTCCATCCAACAACCCTGTTCTCCTTCCTGGGACCAAAGTCTGCAAGATTTCATTTCCCAACAGGGCTTCCCAGCAGGAAGCGGATGGCACCGGCTGTTTAATTCCTCTCCACCAGGGAGAGATACTACTCTGACACATAGGATGTTGGTCAAACATATATTAAGTCAGCAGTGTACATTATAAATATAAGCTATGATTGTATTTCTTTTATCAAAAATAAATGCGCGAAACCTACTGCTTTCATGTGCAAATCTCCAGTAAGTTATATCCACAGTGTTCTTATAATGTACAAGTGAACGCCCTGCACTCTCATTTCCTCCTGAGACAAAGCAGATGTTAGAGTGGAGGAAGACTTGGAACACAGCCCTCAGTGACCTTGCTTTGTGTCCGTGCAGTCCCTGGAGGAGCTGGGGATGGACCTGATCCATGGTTCTTTCAGCCTTCTTCTCCAAGTCCTATCCTTGCTATCAAAGGCTTTTTGTTTGTTTTTGTTTTGTTTGTTTGTTTGTTTGTTTGTTTGAGGTGCTAGGGATCAGACTCAGGGATTTGCACTTTTTAAGCAAGGGCTTTAGCACTGAGCCACTCCCCCAGTGTTGCCTCATTTTCTTGTCTGTAGTTAGTAAAAGTCAAGTTGTAGGAATTGAAATTGTTGAGTGCTTAGTGACTACTTCATTTTATACATTTAAACTGTTAGTAGAGATGGTTTCCTTGGGTTAGTGCATTTACTGTTTAAAAGATGTGAGGAAAAACTCCTCTCTTGGCTATGAAATTACCCAATGTTGCTGTGAAACCACCTCAGATTGTGCTCATTCCTGTCTCAATCTAAGCCCATTCACTTCCTTAAAAGCCATGTGTGTGACATAGGAGCAGAGAACTGTGGTTTCCTTCTGTTGGTTCACAGATAATTATCTGGTGTGAGTCCATCCTCAGTCAGTCTTCCTAGGTGGCTTCACTTGGTGAAACCACACCAAACCCTTTGTTTGCAGGCTTTTGGGGAGTTGAGGCAGTTGCTACCCAATCTGGGAAGATTTCCAACTACTACAATGTTCTCCTGTAGATTAAATTTCACAAGATTTGTTAGAGAATGGTGTGCTTGCGAATCTTACCTAGAAGTCTCATTGAAGCCATGTGCCTGTTGCACTAGGTGAATTCCTCCCTATTTGATGTAAACTAGCTTTCTTATACTTGAAGACTAACTTAAAGCATCCTCTTAATAAAATGATCATCTTTCCGTCAAATGTTCTTCAGAATTTGAAAGGCTTTTCAAGTCTAGTGATTTATAAATGACTGAATATTAAGATGATATTATCATCTGACATTATACAAATTAATTTTGTGTCTCAGAAATGTGTTCCTTAAAAATGTCAGTAAATTAAATCACATTTAAGATACAACAGTTTGGTTTGTCTTTTATTTGGCAGTACTGGGTATTGAGCTCAGGTCTTCATACTGTGTTACATCCCTGGCCCTTACTCATTTTTTATCTTGAGACAAGGTATTGCTAAGTCACCAAGTGACCCAGGCTGGGCTCCATTATACAATCTTCCTGCCTTAGTCTTCCAGAGTGCTGGGTTTATAGGCATGTGCCACCACTCCTGGCACATAGGGAGTACATAAAATCCTATTTCATGTTGCAGGACAGGGATTTTTTTTTGTGTGTGTGTGTGAAAAGAATAGATTGTATTGTAGGTGTAAATTAAAATTTGTGCATCAAAGTAGCCGAAGATAACCTGAATTTAGACCGTGGTAACTTCTTTTTATCTTGGAGCTCAAATGGCCTATAATGGTGCCCGATCCCTTCCCCCTGGTGGTCTGACACTCCTGGTCTTTGCTTTGCAGCAGTCTCTGGTCCCAGCGCACCCCATGGCCCCTCCTAGTCCCAGCACCACCAGCAGTAATAACAACAGTAGCAGCAGTAGTAACTCAGGATGGGATCAGCTAAGCAAAACAAACCTCTACATCCGAGGCCTGCCCCCGAACACCACTGACCAGGACCTGGTGAAGCTCTGTCAACCGTAAGTATAGTTACTTGTGTGTAGTTTTAGCTGCTAAATATTTACCTGATCATATTATTGACTACGTAAATTGTGTCATTGTTTATAAGACAAAGTTATGGATCTTCAGTGTCACAGTGAAAAGAGTTTCTAGGTTTTAAGTCAATGAACCCTTGTCTAGTGAGCATCAACATTAGTGGAATGCCTGTATAACAGCAGGCGTTATAAAGTGGAGCATTTCCTCAGTAGAATTTAAGTTTACTGGCATATGAGAAGTAAAATTGATTTTTTTAAAAAATGTATGGGGTAGGTGCTTAGGAGTGCTCGTTTTTCATGGGCATATCTCTAGGGGTTGGTCTTTCCTGTTAGAGAAGGTATGGGTGTCATTTTTTGTCAGAAAGGCAGCACACCACCTAACCTCATCATAAAAGTATAGAAAGGTCTGAAATTCTGCTGGGACTGACTCTATGAGCACCTGTAGATTATGGTCTGGCTGGCCTTAAACTTATCCATGTGAGACTAAGAACTGCCATTTCCTGAAGAAAAATGTGCATAATCGTAAAGTTCCAAAGTAAATTTGCATTATATGCTAACATTGTTGATGAATAGAACCATACAAGTGTGCTGCTCGCCTATTAACTCAGTTGAGTCAAAAAGTACTCATCTAAAATAAGCCAAAGTACTGTATATAGTGCATTTTATAATGACTAAGATCAAATCTCACTGAGTGATAAACACACATATAACAATGCTTTTTATATGTCTTAATTACTTCCCTTGTTGCTGAGACAAAATACCTGACAGCCAACGTTAAAGGAGGAAAGGCTTAGCTTACAGGTGTTTGAGGTTTCAGTCCATGACCGGCTCGCCCTAAGACAGGGTGACATTGCAGAAGAGAAACAGTTTATGGCAGGTGGCAGGTAGCAAAGCAACAAGGGACAAGACAAGCCCCTTTCTGTCCCTTATAGTGTATCCATACTGCCAGAATTAGGGCAGTGCCGATCTAGTCAGTGGACTGATCCGGCAGTCACCCACCCTTAATCGCTGCACCCTTAATCCTAGCATTACATCACAAATCAGTCACATACTTTAGATTCAGCTACCTCTGGAAAAGCCCCAGTTACGACTGCATGAAGCTTTGGGGGAAAATCTAGACACAAGCCATAGCATTATATGTGAATATAGTAATGATCCTTTACAAACGGAATTTTGCGTAACTATGGAAGATTATTTCTACTATGAAATGTTTTCTATTCCCTAAAAAGTATTCTTGTTCTAAAATGTATTTGAAACATCTCATGTTTCTTGCCCTGAGTAAAGTGCAGATTCATTACTTAAAAAACCTTTTAAAATGAACTTGCACAATATTTCTAAGCTGGAACCAAAAGCAACATTTGGCCTTCCATAAGGAGGTGTGGGAGTTGTTTTGCCTTGTTTGGAGAGAAAGGGTGGGGCAGTAGGTGGTGGCCCTGTAAGATCTGGAAAGGTTTCTTTTCTTTCTTTCTTTTTTTTTTTTTTTTTTTTTGGTGGAACGAGGGATTGAGCTCAGGCCCTTATGCTTGCCAGGGAAGCTCTTATTCTACTGAGCCATCTCCCTGGGTCCCCTGGAAAGCTTTCTAGAAGGCTACCACTCCCAACTCTTTCCCTCTGCCTTTCTCATTTCTCCCTTTTGATGAAGGCTTCTTGAATTTTGACTCTAGCCCTTTGGCTTTCAGGATAGTGAAATAATGCCCTGCTGTAGGACTTACTCTGAAAGCAAGTCCAGCTCTTGGGGTTTGTCATGCCTGGCCAGAGGTAGCAGGAACCCTGCCAGGCGTGTCCTGCCTCGTTGCAGCTGTTTAAGACCACTAATAGGCCTCCTGCTATCTTGTCTGCTGCTGGCCTTTCATTGGCGTCTTCTTATGCTTCTGCAGCATAATTACAGGTAGATAGAGCGCCATAAAGTCTAGTGAGCTAAAAATACAACTTTGTAGGAAACAAAAGATTGAAGCACACTCTTAAATTCTTGAGATGGAAGATAGAGGGAGAAAATTTCAAATGACAAATTATTCCTCAGCTGATTTTGAATTATGTAAGGTGAGCATTGCCATCAGGAGCCAGCTCAGTAGCTGTAAGATAATGGAGCAGTGTTATGCTTCGTGTACAGTAACTATGTGCTTGAAAAATTGAGCCAGTAATTTTATTATTGAATCACATGCATTCTGAACAGAGTTGAATAGCATTTTATCATTTTTCCTGGAATATTTATTCCTTTTTTCTTGTTGATCTCTTTGATATACATGGATTTTCTTCACATGAGTAAATGTTATGCTCTTTGCCGTCATTCATAGCAGCAATAGCTGTTTGCCCCCCACACTGCGTTTAAAAAAGGAAAGGCGCTTACAAAATCCCAGGTTGGATATTAAGCTCTGACAACAGTTTCTTGATTTGTATTGTTCTGAGGCAAGACATATCAATACTAAGGGTCGCTATCTCAGGATCTGCTGGAAGCTTCATTCAATTTAACACAGAGAATCGAATACCAGATTTGGGTTTGCTAACAGTCTTGTATCTTAAAATGTGGGAAAGTGTAAAAGGGTATTCCTGTTGTGGATGTAATTGTTTCCAATAAAGGATTCTTAGTTGATGACATGGAAGTGACAAGAACCTTATGAGAAAGGCACTCATCATAGGGCTGAAAAACCCAGTGGACATAATTAGAGATTTTAGAAAAGTGGGTATCAGAAATTTCACAGAAAAGGCAGATGCAAATCTATACCTCTAAAAAAGAGAAAAACACATTACAACTAGAAATCTAGCACTAAGTTACAAAGTGACCCGATGAAACTAGATTGAGAGAAAAGGCAACAATTGAAACATGATTTGGCTCAGGGAGGCTGAGGTGGCTTGAATCTTTTCCATGTAACAGAGAGATGGAAAAAAAGTACCCATGAATGTTTACAGTGTAGCCTAGCGCCACACACACAATGTGTGAAGGTTAAGTGCAAGTATAATATAAAGATTTTAAACATGGAAAGAAAACTTTTTAATTTTTTTTGAGAAGAGCTGTGTTTGGAATAGAATGTTAGAAGAAATGACAGTGGAAAAGCAGATGTGATGTTAAGAGATCACTGAAAGTCTCTTAAGCAGACTGCGCTATTTGTGTTTGTCATATAAATATTAGTAAACTTTCTAGATTGCTCAGGTGCACTTTGTAGATAAATGAGTTGAAGGTGTCATTGTTTTGGTTTTCCTGCCTGCCTGCTCTCCTAGTGGTATTTTGTGTTGGAGTTATCATCTGAAACTGTCCTGGGTTCATAAATGGTCCTGGTTTCTCTTAGTTTTTTCTCCCTCCACTATGGTTCACCTCTCCTTCTCAGCTCTGTGCCTTTTTAAATTCTTTCCTTGCCCGATATTCCACAGGGTCCTCCTCTCCTAGGGTCCTTCATTGCTTGCCCCAGACTTGTTACGCACTTCCGCTTGAATATTTTATTTGAACCTGAAACTCAACTTTACCTCTTTCTCTACACAGTACTCCTTTTGCTGCATTGTTCCCCTTGGGTGGAGCTTTGGAGCAGGTGCTGATCCCACCCATAGCTCTTCAGTCCCCAAGTCCAGTGCTTCTTTCATGTGCCCTTGCTGTAAAGCAAGAGAACCTTACTCTGTGGCTGCTGCCTCACCTCGGGTACTTCTCTGTCCCTTTCCTCAGTTCTGTAAAGCCCAGTCCCAGTTCCTTCACACTTGGGGCACACTGGTAGCCCTCTCCCTCCCCTCCCCTCCCCTCCTCACCCTTCTCTGCCCCTCCCACACCCCACATCCCCTCCCACACCCCACATCCCCTCCCCTCCCACATCCCCTCCCTCCCCTTTTTTTTAAGTACCAGAAACTGCTCTGTTACTCTGTTGTGCTCAGTACCTTGCAGCATTTCCATGCAGTTCTGTTCTCCCTGACCGTTTCACTGTTACACAGCATGTGTGTGATAGTATAGAATGCTTGCAGCATACGTGCCTCACAGGTTGCTCCCTGAGTTAGGAGATCATTGTAGTCGGAGTTGCTAGTTTTTGAAATCCCAGCATTATCTACCACTGTGCTAAGCAAATACATACCTAATTTTCAGTCCCCAACCTATTTAGTAGATCAAATAATGCTTTTATTGAAAGCATTCTAAGCATAATTAAATCATTCAGGTTGAGTATCCTATATCTGAAGCCCTTGAAACCAGAAACACTTTAAATATATGTGTTTTTATTTCTGTTATCTTGCCAGATACTCCACAGGTTTATTCTCTCATAAGGTCATCCTATGTTTTGGTGGTGCAGCCTAGCTGAAGATGAAATTAATTTGTTTTTAATTAATGAAGATGTAATTAATTGTTATGTAGTATACACATAGCATGAAATTAATTTTGCACAATAGTTTTAGTGTATATGCATTTTGATTGTGATCTGTCACACATACTAAGATGTAAAGTTCTCTACCTGTGTCATGTTGCCACCCATGATGTTTGGGATTTTGGATTTTGAGTTTTTAATTAGGGGCGTTCAACCTGTAATATGAGGAAAAGAATTGGTTCTCCTCCTAGAGCACAATTGTCACTGAATAAGTATTAATCCTTCTTAGCGTCTCAAAGTCCTAACTCATAGAATAAGCTTAAGTTATATCTAATCCTACATTTAAAGCTAAGAAACAAATTATCCCCCCACCCCCTGCATTTCTGGTTTTGAAAGCAGAGAAAGTCAGTGAACTAGTCCATGTTCACGTACTGTGTGGCATGCTCTCCCTTGAGACTTGTGCTTGCTACTCACAGATAACTCATTTCAGCCTCATGCAGCCCACTCTTGATCCATTCTGTGATGTAACAAGTAGTGTGGTGTGGAAAATCTTCTACTGTGACCAAGCTCCTTTCTAAAGATTCAGAGCACAGTATTTGTATGCAAAGGTCAGTCCGTACTTGTGCTATGTGTGGGAGCTAGGGTATCCGTGTCTCTGTTGTCCAGCTCTGGGTGGCTACCGATCACCACAACACAGACACTGCGTGTACG